TAATAATTTCTTTCACGTTTGGTCGCAGGAGGATAGTCTAGAGCGCCAAGTTAAATAAAAGGCACCTTCAAGTAAAAATAGTGGAGGGGCAAGAAAACTCACATGTTCAAATTGAGCGGTGTAGGATCCCTTCACGTCACATAATGGAGGATATGCATCCACGATTCCATTGGCAACCAAGTTATTCAACTGCAGTTATTGTTTAGCCAAAGTGCATTTTTCGAGCATCACAGAATAGTTTATGGATATATTAACTTACTCCAAGAAGGTACTTATCTTGCCCAAGTCGGTCCAGATATCGACGGCAGAAAGGCAACGTGCCAAAATTCTTTGTGATGACATTCAAAAGGTTCTTCGCAGATGAGAGGCGGAGTGGAACATTGGGCGCATCGGGGATCTTGGCGTAATGAGAAGTTTCCATCTGTGAAATTCCTTCTTTAGCAGGGCCTAATAGAGAGCAGGTAGTTTAGGCACCGTGATCTCGAGAGCACTCACATCGTCCCTAACATAACCTCTTCCAGTGCTGCCAAAAGTTTCGATGGCGTAGACTTCGCCCTCTTCCATTTTGGTTTGGTCTCCACCCTTGACAATTGGGACGCTCTTCCCATTCTTGCCACCATGGATCTCGTATCGACCAATCGTGTGTCCATTAAGGTTTCGAATGGCTTTAACAGGGTACGAGGTTCCTTTGATCTCGACCTCGTAGCTCTCCATGGCCTCCTGAATAGCTGCACCAATATCACTCATCCGAACGTCGATTCCAGCTTGCTGTAAAGCAGAACTCCCGATTAGGCAAAGGCATAATTTAGAACACCCACGCGACAGAACAAGCAGCCCAAATTAAAAGAGAATAAAACGTGAGGATTAACATACCTTAATTCCAGTATTCGTGGCATCTTTGACGGCGGCGAGTAAATTATCATATACAGGATCAAACGCAATGGTAAATGCGCTATCCACAATCCTTCCATTTATATGAACGCCAAAATCAACCTTCATCACATCTTCATACTGCAAGACCATTTTATTTCCTGCATTGGGAGTGTAATGTGCCGCGCAGTGATTGAGATTGACACCGGTGGGGAATGCAATCCCCCCCCGTAAATTATCCCCCTCTTCCAGCCCCGGGTGGCCCGTGAGTGCGCGGACACTCTCTTCAATCCCCTCTGCGATTTCCGTCAAGGTCTGTCCGGGTTTGATTGCTTTCTGCGAATACTGCCGCACCTGCCTGTGGACTTCTGCCGCGTAACGGTATTCGGCGAGGAAATCATTGTTCATACGGTCGAGGTGTCTCTTCTCCTCATTGGTAGTGCGGTACGCATTCTCATTCTGATATTCGACGATCTCGCCCTCCGGATACTGATTGTTGGGGAACAGACTCGAGAGAATGATGCGTGGGGGTTCGGTTTGCACTTTCGAGGTACACTTCTTCTTCTTCTTTGTCTTCTTCTTCTTTTTCTTTGCAGCTGTAGTATTCGCTCCAGAAATTAGATATATTTTGTCATCCGATTTTTCAAGCCCCTTGAGAAAAATATAACAAACCCGTGGTATTGCCTAGCTCTGGGGCTCCTTGATCATCGTCATATTCACCGTCCGACTCTCGGGCTTCATTCTCAGGAGATCCTTGCGCCGGTCTGTTCTTCGCAGCAGCCCCACCTTCAGAGTTCACTGGGACCAGCGGAGAGGTGGGATTAGCAACATAGTTTTGAATATCTGGGGGGTTTGAATACGAGACAGGAGGCATACAGTTGAGGTTTCCCACTCCCGATGCAACTTGAGCCGCCATGTTGGACAATTACAAAAAACAAAAGATATCCTAGCCGGATGTCGGTCACCGTCAACTACAAGATCCGTCTCCGTGTCATGCCGCAAAAATATGCAGACAGCCCTGGAGGTGCTCTTCGGCAGAATATATGTCCGCCTGGGAAAGCCAATCAGACAAGGGCAAATTCACGAATCTTTTCTCAAGTGGTCTCGGATGCAACCACGTGATGATCGCCGAAGAAAAAGTACCTTTAGGCTGAGGGAGGAAGATCGCGGAGCAAACTTGTCTTACTAGTTGATGCAGATGCCTAGAAATCTATGAAAGTTCTAGATAATGAATCCTTCTCATGAATTTTTAGAGAAAATTTCATGAATAAAATTCAGCTGGGAAAATCCAATTCCGCAGAAATCTACCCTTATATTTTTCGGATTGTTCGTTCGAGGGCTCAAGGTGAGGAGCGTTGGCCGTCTCCGTTGGCTTCAACCGCCAATCCTCGATCCGGCCTAGCTCAGTTACGTGATCACAGTCTTTCCTACAGGCTCAGTATGTCACGTGATATGCGCAGTCTAATGTGAAAAGCGGGAGGCCTTGTCAAGATTCCGATATCTCGAATCCCAAGATGACGAACTACAGCATTTCGGCAACGACGGGACAACAACAACATCACTTTGTCCACTTCTGCCCCTTTTTTCTTTTGCCTTTCCCCAGGGTATTTCGGAAGATATGAGGCATGCCACTGTGTCTTGCTCGTTTACCCCCCTTTCCGGCCCTTCCTCTCATCCTCCATCCTCCTAATGCATTATCCGTACGGTCATTCTCCCACACTGCGGCAATATATGCCAGAAGCCACAGCCCTTCATACTACGACATCCTAAATGTCTCAGTAACAGCTACAACCGCAGAGATCAAAAAGTAAGCTCCGGTCTTTCCACAAATGTAGAATGCATCTCACCTAACAACCATTTTTTGAACTTGCCCCATTAGACAGTTCTATGCTCTCTCCCTTGCCCACCACCCAGACAAGAACCCCAATGATCCAACAGCACATGCCAAATTTTCCTCCATATCCTCCGCATATCATGTTCTCTCCCACGCGACGAGACGAGCCAACTATGACCGCGAACACCACATTCACCAGCCAACCAAGCCCCCCTACACCAGCCCCCACCACTGCAAAGCGGCATCGTACGTAGGCTCTCGACCACCGTCCGGATTGAGCAAACAACGAGGCGAATTCCGTGGACCTCCCCCAAGCTTCTATGCGCACGGCGGTTATGGCGCGGGTCGCCATCCTCCCCATCATCATCCCCACCAGACACATACATCCAATACATCCTCCACCTTCTCTGCGTCAACCGCATCCTCAGACCCAACCGCTACATTCATATACCACAACCCTATTCCCCACTTCGATGCGCAATCTCATTTCCGCACACAGCTACACGAAGACGAGAGAAGGTGTGTCCGCCGCCATAGGGCGATGGAGCGGGAGAAAGCGCGCATCCGAGAGCAAGGAGGGCTGCTTATGGAAGATGCTGATGGGAGTATGTCTAGGAGTTTTTTTGCCATATTGGCTACTGTGGGGCTAGGTGCCCTGGCTGCGAGTTTGGGGAAATCATTTATTCCTGCGCAGCCAACTCCTGCTGGCATACCTTGCAAAGATTACCCAGCTACCCCCCGGACTCATTCGACAGCAAGAGATGCACGAGCAAAGGGCGTAAGCTGAACCACATAAGTTGAAATGATATTTTAATTACCTTTGCTTCCTTTTCTAACGCGGGCATTTTTCCACTCCCTTTACCCCCAACCTCCCCATTCAGTTATATATGAGTGGCCTATCAGCTGTCCATGTATATCCGTCTGATGATGGTGTTGGTATACCATATAATTTGTCGCAGGTCATCATCATTTTCCGAGTTCCAGGTTTATGAAGGGAATTTTCTTTAAGTCACATGCACATGCTTGTACATACCTTGATATAGTACGGTACAGGAATGGGAGCTTAGCACAAGACCTAACTGAATATCCCACGCGGAGAACCTTGTCGTGTCGGCGTGGGTCTCCAACTCACTTCGAGATCCATTGCAATCTCCTTCGTCGAAGTCATGCTATGTAGCTGGCAAACGAAACCACACCCCAATCTGCGGTGTACTCCAATGAGCCAACCCTGTGTGCAAGCTAGCATTTCGGTCCTCCTGAGAATCAAATGCGTACACATACTCCTCTGTACCTTCACCCACCCCCGTTTTTGGCGCCCTGGTGTGGATTGAAAGAAAGCCGGAGGCCTAGGAGGGGTTTGTTGACGAGGTGGTGTGGGTGTAGGATGCTTGACTCTGTCGAACCCCGAGTATATACCAAGGGATTAGAAAGGAGGATCATAAGGGGGATGGGAGGGTGGATGCAAGGGGTGTAGTGTTAAATCTATTAATAGTAAAAGGAAAAGAGCTACCATGAAAAGGAGAGTAGCGTTAGATTGGATTAACCCCTCCTATTACTTGAATTCATTCATCTAGCAGTGATAATCCACTTCCACGTCTCCTCTGGGAAGAAGATTTGCGATGATTAGAATGACCTTTCTGCTGCTCCTGCCACAGAATAATAGGCACGACTATATGTTTAGACAAAAAACAATGAAACAAAGAAGTACTTCATTTATCATGTATTATTCTCACTCAATTTGTTTCTTAATTTACTTCTTTGCCAGGAAAAAAAGCGTGTGAAAATTGAAAATGTTGGAACTGACACAACTCAAAACTTGGTTATCTTGCTTATACTTATTTCACTCATCAAATCCCTCTTCACATTATCTTGCTGTCTCACAATCTTTGGTATAGACACGTGAACAAAGCCAGGTATTGAGGTACACAAAAAAATAATCAATCATTATGAAGAGAGAGGGTATGGTGGGAGTAGATTGAAAGGAAAAAGCAGATATAAGAGACCATAAGAGCAAAAGGACCAGCCTGGGGACTGCAGCAAAAGCAGTAAAAGAAACAGAAAAACAAAACATAACAAGAAGCTTAGCTCTAGAGTAGAATTTTTTTTTAATTTTTTTTTTTTTGTTTTTAAAAAAAAGGCCCAAGGAATTGTATTTCTGAAAATCTCTGGTTTTTATGTATAGAATACAAAGTTTATGTCACACACACATTCTCTCTCTCTCTCTCTCTCTCTCTTTCTATCTCTCGCTCTTTCGCTGTATATCATTCTTGCTTGCTTCATGTATCTCTCATTTTTTTTATCCTTCAAAGGTGAAGCTGGCTCCGACCTTGTGGGCGGCCTGGTGCAACTTCTGGGTGTCGAAGGATGCACCAAGGCCGAGAATCACGCCGGGGCGGAGGAGGACGTTGTAAGCCAATGCGGCAATACCACGGTCGTTGATTTTAGCCTAGATTTGGGACAGATTTGATCGTGATTAAGTAAGCTGCGTAAAAGGCAATCGGGAAAAGGAGGGGTTTAATGGCTTTGCGCAAAAGCCATTTTATAAAACTCACCTTGGCGAAGGAGGAGGGATCAAGTCGGTACTTGCTGGAAACTTCCAAGCCAACAGCGTTGCCAACCTTGGAGTCCCAGGTGGCCTTCGCACCAGCCTCGACCTGTGCGTTGACACGGTGGTAGTAGCTGGCGGAGAAGAGGCTGAGGTTGTTGGATGCGGTGATGGCGGCGGTGTACTCGGACACGCTGTATGCGACGGCAGCAGAGTACTTGGTGATGGCAGCCTTCTGTACATCGTAGCCACCCTCAGCGCCAACAAGGAAACCATCGTGGCCAAGGACAGCGTCGAAATTGGCGGTGGGGCCTTTGAGGAGATCGAAGAAGGCGCGAGCGTGGATGTTCGGCTGTTTGAAGTAGAGGTTCAACTTAGCGCCCTTGGACTGGGAGCTGGGCAGGTATTGGGTGAGGATCTCAGCCTTAAGGCCCTTGACGATGGTGTTGTCCAGCTCTAGCTTGGTGTCGAGGGAGTTGGAGGTGGTCCAGGTTTGGATCATGGTGAGGCCTGAAAAGGGGTGAAACATTAGTATTATTTATGGCTGGCGAATCCAGATGAAATGACGAAATTTAGAAGATTGGATGGGTGAAAGCGGATGAGTGTGAAGTTAATCTGCATCAGATCCGGGGAAGAATTGGGACTGAGCCGTTCAATTTCTTCTTGAAGACGGGTAGGTGATGGCCTGCGTGGGGTGTCTGGGGAGGCTTTACCAGTTGGCATATCAACGTATTTGGATTCGAGCTGCGCCAAATCGAGTCGGAATATTAGTACCCCAACGAATTCCCCGCCTCCAGTGTTCTCGGCCATGGCTCAAATGAACTGTAGATATTATCACATCGGACTTACAGATCCACTGATAGGACCTTCGTGGGCAGATTTTCCCTTGACGTGGAAAGTGACGCCATTGGGGGCCTTTGACTTGACCTCAAGGTTGGCTGCCGACAAAGCGAAGCGGTTCAGTCAGCACGAGTTCTGAAGGCCAAAAGATATACCAATTGAGACTGGGAAGCAGGGTACAGTACCAGCACTGGTGTGATAGAAATCCTTGTTCAGGAGCTACAAACAATACAACATCTCTGGGGTTAGATTTGTGGTTCAAATTTGCAATTGGGAAAGAGGGCGGGGTTGAGATCCCGTGTTTTGGCATTTTGCATACATCATTTGCGGCCTTGGCAATGTCGCTGAAAGCAGGTGGAGCAGGCATGGTGGGCTAAAGAGTGAGAGTAGAAGGGGGCTGAAGGGAGAGGTATCTTCAAGAGAGGGATGGAGAGGCAGAAATTCGTGGCGAGCGTGAGGTTGGAATGCTTGAGGAGGGTTTAGGATCACGAACAGAGTGAGCTGTTGTTGTTGGGGGAAGGCCTCAGATTTCTGGCAGGCGAAACGGGCAGCGCAGCCGGGGCGGAGCAGGGTTAATCCGGTGGCATTTCTCGGCGATTTCAGGTACCGCGGAGCCAGGCGGCGTCTGATTGGCTGTGCCGTGGTTGCCACGTGATCTCGCTTCTGCTCCAAACCTTCCGGGATCTACTAAGGGAGGACAGAGAAAGAAACCAGAGTATTCGCTTTCAGGTTTTGTGCTTACTCAAAATTGTTAACTAGAAATGGCAGTTTTCAGTGGTTTCTAATAATCACAGGGAACCAAAAACCAGAAATGGAAAATGTAAAATCGCCAGATGCAAACAAAAAGGTCTATTCAGAAGATAACACAGTTTTCCAAGACAAGATGAAAGGAAAAGGGAACAAAAGGAAAATCAAGTTAAAAGAAAACATTTATCCGCCGGAATGAGACAAGAAGCAGACAGGCCACTAACTGCAGAATGAAAGAGCTTCAAACACAAGTATAACTCAGGCCATATACTTCTATCATAGACACAGATTAGGCGGCTTCATCCAATATACACATCCAGGAGGAAGGGTCGCACAGAGATAGGTATTTTAACATTCTAGCTCTCGTACTTGGCAATATGTATCGAAATCGCACTGCAAAATGGTTGTGCCACTATTAGTATTCCAGTTTAAGAGATTCCACCAGGACAATAGATAATGCATACCGTCCACTGGGATCCGTCTGCTTCGACCATTTTGGCGTCCACCGCATCACCGTCGACGCGCAGTATTGCGGGAAGTGCTCGTCGAACATCATGCGATACCAGAACCTAGAATAAACCAGCTAATCTCAATCACCCCTTTCCAACTATGAATTGAACGTATATTTCATCAAAGCTCTCCCCACCCCCACCCCCACCCCCCCCCCCCCAAAAAAAAAAAAAAAAGAAAAAAGAAAAGTGATGGGGGAGATTACAAACATACCCTTCCTTAGTATCCGGCACTTCATCCCCCCACTCCGGCTTGGGATTCTTCATCATCTCATCCGTAACATGCAACTCCGCATTATCCTTTAAAGCATCAATCCATCCATAACCAACCCCATCACTAAACTGCTCCTTCTGCCTCCACAGGATACTGTCAGGCAGGTACGGCTTCGCATCCGGCCCTTCATCAGAGGTATCAAACGCCTTGCGCAGGATGTATTTCTCAATCCGGTCTTTCGTAATCATCTTCTCCTGTGGGTCGATGCCCATGGAGACTTCGAGGAATTGCTTATCAAGGAAAGGGACGCGAGCCTCAACACCCCATGCTGAGGTTGACTTGTTGGCACGCAGGCAATCGGCCAGATGCAGGTGTTTTACACGTGAGACAGTCTCCTCGTGGAAGGCCTCCTTGCTTGGAGCGGCATGGAAATATAGGTACCCGCCAAAGATCTCATCGCTGCCCTCACCGCTAAGCACCATCTTTACGCCTAGCCCCTTAATCTTTCTGCTGAGCAGGTACATGGGTGTCGATGCGCGGATGGTGGTCACATCGTACGTTTCCAGGTGGTAGATGACATCCGAGAGGGCGCTGAGGCCATCTTCTAGCGTAAAGGTAAAGGCATGATGCTTCGTTCCGAGGAACTTGGCCACTTCAAGCGCCGCCTTGGTGTCGGGGGAGTCGGGGAGACCAATAGAAAACGAATGAAGCTGTGGCAGTTTCGTGATCGTGGACAGTTCGTTAGAATCGTCAATGCCCACCAGTCCCGAGCTGGACGCTACCCGGTTGACATATCCGTTCTCACCGCTGCCTGAAGTAGCAAATTGCTGTTGCCGCAGCGTTTCCCGCTGCGCAATGGAGGCCACTAAACTCGAGTCCAGGCCCCCAGAAAGCAGGACACCAAATGGAACCTCCGCCATCAACCGTTTGCGCACGGATTTCTCCAACGTTTCACGGATAAGTTTATAGTCAACGGGGGCCGTTGGGACGTTGGTTGGATCCCACCATGTAGGCTCGAAGTAACGTTTCATAGTGTCTGTTTTCGAATCATATACGTGGCCTGGTGGGAAGGATATGATCTTGTCGCAGACGGGGTGCAACGACTTTAGTTCAGAGGCGAAATAGACCGCGCCAGGTGTTTGAGATGACCATCCCTGGTAAAAGCTCGTGATGCCGATTGGGTCTCGGGCAGCGATAACTCTGTTCTCCTTCTTGTCGAAGAGGACCCATGAAAACATGCCGTCGAGGAATTTAGGGGTGTCGACGTCATGCTCCATGTACTACTCAATCAACAACTTTTTGTTAGAGGTATAACTAAAGCAATATCGTAAACGAAGGACCGGGAAAAACCAAAACCCACCAAGGGGATGATAACTTCGCAATCCGACTGCGTCTTGAAGTTATATGAAGTTTTCAGACTCTTTCGCAAGATTCTGTGGTTATAAATTTCGCCGTTGACCGCGAGAGCGACGGTTCCATCATCATTAACAAGGGGCTGGGAGCCAGAATCTTAAAACCCAAAAGTCAAAGTCGTCAATATTTCTTTTCTGCTTACACACTTGCTTTCTTTTCAAGTAGCAAGGAAATAAGAGAATGGAAAGGATGGGGAGAAAAAAGGAAAAGAGAGGGGGGGGAACATACCGAGGCCAATAATGCTCAACCGCTCATGTGTAAGGACTAGTCAAATATCAGAGTTTAGTCAGTAACAACGGACTGCACAGGGAACCGGGTAATTATGTCTTGCACGGCCAAAACTGACTGGTGTTGTTCGCAATAAAGTTTCCACCTATATAGAAGAAGAAAGGAATATAAGTCAGCTAGATGTAGAGCATGGTTTAATTGAATTGAAGGTCTTTTCTCCTCCTCTCCCTCCTGCCAAAGGAAGAAAAGAAAAAATGAGAGGGGAGGTTGTATATGACTCACTCCAATCAGGGCCGCGATGGCGCACACTGTATGCCTCAAACATAGAAAAATATTTTAGCCATTATGCATTCTATTATATTTTTGCATGTCTTTTTATTTCCTTTCTTCTATATTTCCAATCTGCAAACATTTTGGGGGTCGAGGAGCAGGGCAAAAAGTGTATCCAAGAACCACTCACGCTTTCGCCATGCGCAAAGCTACCGGCTTGAACTTCTGCACATCTGGATGACTGCATTGAGTGAGAATAATCATGTCAGTTTAAAAGGCCAATCCATTTTGAAAGAAGAAAAATAAGAATTCGAAGGTCCCTCTGCTGAGACAGACGTATTTTTCTATCATGTATTGTGCAATAGGGACATGGACCGCAACGAGAAATTAAATACATACCAATGACACACGAAAATCCCACACATGATTGCGACTTGCTGTCTCTTTAGTGTTCTCTTTTGTCTTCCTATGCCGTATGCAGGCGAATATTTGGGGAGAAGAAAAGTGGGGAGAGGGGATTGGTATTAAAATGGTAAAAGGAAAGGAGGGTTATGGATATTGAGAGAGGGGAGAGTTGGATAGTGAATATGGATAGTGAGTAGTGGTTGGTGTGTTGGGAATGAAAGGGGTATTTAAAAACCAAGGGCGGGAAATTTTTCTGTGTAGATTCTCTGCTCTGTAGTTAACTTGACATGTGCGAATGCCGGAGAAGAAGGACGGGCAGAAGAAGCGCGGAAGAGTCGTGAACCGCGGAAAGTCGTGAAGTGGGAGGAAGAGGAGTTGGTACTCTCTTTTTTTTTTTTTTTTTTTTTTTTCCTTTTTAAGCTTTGGAGGTTTATCCAAATGGTTTGAGTCATCCAATTTCAATTGACTAACTGAGTTAACCAATGTTATCTTTGACAGATGGCAAGCTTGATCGATTGCAAATGTTGCAACTACGAGAACGACTATATGGTGGGAAAAATCGGTTACGTTACGGAAGGGCCGACATCCCCCACTCATGGTAGGAGCACTTTATATTGTATATACAAAAATAGGCCTACTGTCCAAGTACAGGTACAGAATCAACTGGAAAAACAAGACTGTGAAAAAAGAAAAAAAAGAAAAAGAAAAAAGAAAAATTTAAATATGAAGACATTTTAAGAAGGAAATACTCATTTTCTCAAACTTTACAATCTCCTTTCAGTGTGCAAACTTTGTGATATTCAGTGATCTAATGTCATGCATGGTCATGAG